CATTAATAATCATTCGATTACTGAAATTGCTGATAGTTCAGTGAAAAAAAAAGAGCCTTGCTTCTAACTTTGCAGTTGAAGAGGAAGGGGATTAGTAGAAATACGAAGCAGAACAGTATTTTGAAGCTTTTTTAGGATAATTTCAGGTCGTTGGGCAGTCATCCTGTCCTTTGTGAAGGGGTTGCATTAATGCTTTGACTTCCTAGATTTAACTATTCGTATTTTTCAGGCATTTCACCTAGATCACTCTCTGGTCTGTTTACAATGGAATTGGCTTTGGACATTGCACGCCTGGTTCTGAGTAGTCGCGGAGCTGCACAGTGCAGTGAACAAATGCTCAGCCAGGTCCAAGGTATAATCGAAAACGGTTCACCGCTCTCTGTGCATACATTTATCGTTCATCGGCAGTGCCAGCAGAAGTCTGCGCAGTGCACGAGTGCTCTGCTGCTCGAAGTGTGGACGGTTAGTGTGAAGTCGGAGAAAAACTGCCAGGAAAAGGTTATTTTTTGTGCAGCTAGAAACACACGTGGTGACCGCGTGGTCTACACCAACTTCTGTTTATAAATTTGCTTGAAACTTCTCTATAACTTTTATACAAATTTTTTGCATGGAGTGCGAGCATCGTTAAGTATTGGACAGTTACGACGACAACGCAAATATGCTTGTTACTAATCTGCAGATTTTGGATGCTTTATTCCTGAAAAATGCGGTACGATCACATTTGCACTTCTCCCAGTTGTGGTCCTGGATGGCAAGTAATGGTGGGCAGCTCCCAAACGATACAGCTTTCGAGTACAGGTTCCTGATTTAGCAATTGTTACGTGTGAATTTGTTTCTGAAATGCTCAGCTTTTCAAAGTTAATTTTCTAAAACAAATTTTCCGATAGAAAAAAATTTTTGGTTCTGAACATTGTGTCTAACTAAACTAAATAGCAGGGTTGCCCGGACTGTCAATGCAGTTACCCCTGTTAGTGATGTTACTGGAATGACTAAATATTCTAAGGGGAAAATTCTTCTTTCGTTAAGAATTGGTACAGATTACATTAAGCAATATATTCAAAAAAAACTAAAGTTATTTTTTCAACTGTTAAAGCATATCAGCGCTATCCAGGATGGGCAGCATTTGGGTCTAGGCGATATGTCCAGCTCACAAAAAAAACACCTTGAAATTGTTGAAATCCTATCAGGTACTTTTGATGAGAGCACCGTTGAGGTAGTATCCCGTTCAGGACGCAAAACGAGCATTTGTTCCACCAGTAGACTGACCACCCGGCGATGTGGCATTGGTCAAGTCAACGAGAAAAGTTGCCATTTGTGTAGTTGATGAACTGGGTTATGAGATTCGTCTGGACCAAGTGTTTCAACCAGGTACATAAAATTAAGTATCAGTGTGGTGGAAAATTAGCCCATGCTGCAACTTACTAGGCTTGCTGCGCGACCAAGTTAGCACAGTGCCAAATGCGAACTCGGAGTGGCCGTACACGTAATGTAGACGTGCGTGGCAATCGAATTTGAAATCTTTAACTGGGATATTCCCGCAGAGTTTAAGAAAGCTGGGTCACGAAATCATTTCTCGCCAAAGAAATATGCATATTTTTCTCGGGGGTTCATACTCGATGTCTAGACGTGTATGAGCAGAGTTTTTAAAATGGGAGGGTGACACATGGGATGGGAATATGCCTGTAAAATTCCAGCCTCCTAACTTCCCTGGTTGCTGAGTTGAAAGTGGGTGACAAAATTCACTCGCTCCTGAACACAAAAACACATACGGACAATCTCTCGACAGTATGCTTTTTTATGCGTTTTGTGCTGTGTAACAGCAGTACAAAACGCATATTGTTACGGGGTCGTCTGTGTGTGTGTGTGTGTGTGTGTGTGTGTGTCGTGTGTGTGTGTGTCCGCAGCAACTTGTCCGCAACTTTCCTCGGGAACGCAAAAGCTAGGAAAGCGCTGAATAGGGTAACGTTTCCCACCCACGTGTGACCCCACAAATTTAAATTCAGCTTCCCCGTACCCACGGGTAACGTGTACGGCCGGACGTTCCCCACCCATGTGTGACCCCGCAAATTTAAATTCAGCTTCCCCGTACCCGCGGGTAAGAACGTTACCCAACCACGTGTGACCCCGCAAATTTAAATTCAGCTTCCCCGTACCCGCGGGTAACGCGTACGGCCCTGCGAAAGTTTTCTACGGGTAAGTTAATATCTCGGGAACCACGGAGTCTAGGAGGCTGAAATTTTAGCTACGTGTGACCCCGCAAATTTAAATTCAGCTTCCCCGTACCCGCGGGTAACGCGTACGGCCCTGTGACTTTTTACGGGTAAGTTAATATCCCGGGAACCGCGGAGTCTAGGAGGCTGAAATTTTAGAGTAATAACCCACTGCCCATGCTCAACCTTGCCCATTCAAAATCAGCCTTCCATTACCCGCGGGTAACGCGTACGGCCCCATGAAAGTTATTCACGGGTAAGTTAATATCTCGGGAAACACGGAGCCTAGGAGGCTGAAGTTTTAGGGTGATGACCCCCTGCCCACCCTCAACCTTGCCCATTCGAAAACAGCCTTCCCTTACCCGCGGGTAATACGTACGGCCCCGTGAAAGTTTTTCACGGGTAAGTCACGAG